TACTGTTGCGTTTCAAGTTACGTTATTTTGAATTCAAGTAAGTTATCAAACATACATATTGAAAATCTTTTGAAATGTATAATTACATGTGTGTTTAGAAACTGACAATCTATGTTAATTAGAATATGGGGTGGTGATGGGAGGAAAGAGTCTTCACTGAGGCAGGAACAAAGGCTACAGAAACCAAAAGGACCACTGGGTCCCTAGTCCTGCATAAAGAACAGTCCTCCAAGCCTACAAGGCAATGGTCAGGGGACACTCACAGCCATCTTCCTAAAACCACCAGTTTGGGGACATAGAACTTTCATAAGGGAATGTACTATGTATAGCATAGAATGCAAAAGACCTGAAGTTTTACAATAAAAGAGAGGAGTTTTATACTGATTTGTTTAAAATTAAACAACAGATTGTAGAAAGAAATTTGTTTTACTAAAAGTTAAGGATGATGAATCACACTAAATTTTAATGAGGAGAATTTTGTAAAACAGGAACTTCAGGTATGTTTTGAAAAACTAATTATAAAATAAACATGATCCTTACCTTATTATTTCTTTCTGTGTTCATGGAAATGTTGCCTAATTATGCTTAACACACATAATTGCTCCAAGGAGAAGCAACCCAAGTAGGGGATGCTGTAGCTTGAGAAAATCCATTCTCTACCAAAAGAACAGATAGCTCATCAACAACTGAATTAATACTATTTTTCCTTTCCTTAAGTGTCCTTGATGTTTGTCTAGAATGATTTAGGCAGTACCAGTGGGGAGGCAGGCAGATGATACATTCCTATAAGTAAGTCATGTTTATTCCTAATAAGTTTTAAATATTGTAGAAACAATCACAGTAGTAGAGTCTGAGTTGTTTGGCTGCTTTCTTAGGGTACTAATTTATTTTTTAAAAGAAATCCTTAAGTTCTCAATTTAGAGATGATTAGAATAGAAAAATGTTTAAAGAACTAGAGGAATTCTTGGGTAGCCTGTATCAGCTGTAATACACTATAGTACTCTTAATCTGTTGCTCTGTGCCCCTCACACTCCCCGCCAGCCCTCTCCTCTTCTAGTAATCCCAACTCCCTCATAACACAACCACCTACCAGTTTCTCCAGCCAAAAATCTAGCAGTCATCCTTTATTGCTCTCTGTACTTTAGCTCTTACATCCTTGCCATCAATAAATCCTGCTGCTTCTACTTACCAAATATATCACAAAAGGGCTACTTCTCTCCACTGCCAGCACCTCAGCACCCCCCACAGTCCCTTCTCTACTAGACTACTTCAAACCCTCCAAGCATCTCCATGCTTTCATTATGAATCATTCTCCGTAGAAGAGCCAATATCATCAACTTTAAAGGCTGGATCTCTATAGTACTTAATATATTTAAAAATATATAGAGAAAAATAGAGCTAACATTAACATAGCCACTAGGAAATTGATTGAACTAGGAAATAAAACTTTACCAACACATTTAAATCCCCTTATATATCTCTCCCCAATCAACTTTCCCATTCATTAACCTCCAACATTCCTGTATTTGATGTTTACCAACACACCTCTTCTGGTGGAATCTATTACGTGTATCTGTAAGCAACATATAAATACTATTTCTGCATTTTTAAAGTTTGATAAAATATTTAGCCATTCTCCCGTGACATTCTCTTCCTTAAAACTTAGTTCTAAAGAGGACTCCTCTTCACTCACAGAATGAAGACAGCTAGTGAGGTCATGTCCTGTGATGTTTCATAGACTCAGAGATGGCCCTAATGTGACCTTGGTGTTTTCCCAAGAGTATAGATAGTGCAAAAACAGTGTCAACCTCATGATACTTAAAACTGTCTGAACCTCAGTTTACACATGAAGTTTCCAGAAGAATGAATTAAAAGACTGAAAATTATCATATTAAAAATAATTCATCATACTTAGGGAAAAGTAATTTGTCTTATTGTATAAATGACAATTTCAACAAGAGTATAAATTAAATGTAATTATATAAACTGGAAGATAGGGTATTTACATCCAAACATCATTCTAGTAATGGGCAGTTTAGATACATTCGATATAATAAAAATTTAGGATGTTAAAAATATCTACATTTTGGGCATCATAAAAAAGCAAAGACAGGAATTCTTCCTGCCCACTCAGTAACTCACAAATTTTTGCATAACAATTCCACAAACTGATCTCAGAAACAGAGCAATGATACATTTTCTATGAGTACAGACTGTGAAATACTATGGATTGTGCTTTATATAATATTGTTTGAGGCAATCTGTATAAGAAATAACATCAAGATTCATAATTGCACAAATCTGAAAGGCCTTACATTTCTCATCACAAATTACCCTACTGTCATAACTCACGAAGAAGTAATTGTAGTATTTTATAAACTGTTTACTGTCTAAGATTGCAAATTGTTTAGCTAATTCATACAAACTTTTTGGCTGCAAATCTTCAATGTCATAGGCCTGGGTCAGGGTATACTCCAGCTTCCAATTAGATTTTCCCTTCAGATTAGCATCTGTCAGGTTCAAGTAATACTGTAGCACATCCTATAGTTAAAAAGAGTAACAAAGCCTGGTTCGTTTTTTGGCATATGAAGTACTGCATATCAAGAAGAGTTCTTATTAGGATTTATGTGACATTCTTAATTTAAAGTATAGTCATTTTAAGAAGTGTGCATTACTTTTAAAGAAAAAGAGTCCTGATAGAAAAATCTATATATTTTTTCATTTAAGAAATAATGAGGGCTTCCCTGGTGGGGCAGTGGTTGAGAGTCCGCCTGCCGATGCGGGGGACCCGGGTTCGTGCCCCGGTCCGGGAAGATCCCACATGCCGCAGAGCGGCTGGGCCCATGAGCCATGGCCGCTGAGCCTGCGTGTCTGGAGCCTGTGCTCCGCAACGGGAGAGGCCACAACAGTGAGAGGCCCACGTGCCGCAAAAAAAAAAAAAAAAAAAAAAGAAAGAACATAATACAAAATAATCCAACTATACAGAGGGGCTTACAAAATAAAAAGCGTTCAATTCACACACATCAGAAGTAACCACGGCTAACAGTTGTATATAAATCAGTCATATGCAGGAGGTGGCTTGTACCAGCCCACAAATGCTGACTGTCAAATTTTCAGGCATCTTGCAAGTTAGTTGGTATCACTTTGGCAGCTTGAAATTGGCCATGATGGGAGTATTTATTCCATGGAAACTGGCAAACACTACAAATCAAAGCACTTTTCCCCCTGCCCAGTGAACCAGCTGTTAAACATTTACCAGCACTCCAGTGTGCTGTTCTAGACTTTATGTACAAAGAAATATAAGTATTTAGAATATATATACCTATTTCCTAACTTTTTGGCTTTTTCAAAAAATGAAATTAAACTATACAAACTGTTTTGCACTTTTAAAAATGATATAGTATTATATCAGGTACATCTTTCTATGTCAGTATACACACACACACATGCACACACACATGTGTGTGTGTGTCTGAGATTCAGATCCAAAAATAGGCAACTAATAGTTGTAAAAGAATTCCTCTGGGGACTTCCCTGGTGGAGCAGTGGTTAAGAATCCGACTGCCAATGCAGAGGACACAGGTTCAAGCCCTGGTCCAGGAAGATCCCACATGCTGTAGAACAACTAAGCCTGTGTGCCACAACTACTGAGCCCACGTGCCACAACTACTAAAACTCATGCACCTAGAGACTGTGCTCCACAACAAGAGAAGCCACCGCAATGAGAAGCCCCCACTTGCCGCAACTAGAGAAAGCCCACGTGCAGCAACAAAGACCCAATGCAGCCAAAAATTAATTAATTAATTAATTAAAAAAATTCCTTTGGACTATTTTCTCAATTGTTTTATCTCCTCATTTAATTTAATGTTTATGGATTAAACCAAATTTTTTCTGCCCTATCTTTTCTTGTAAAAACATGCTCTAGGGATTAACAAATCTATCTCCTACTAAATTTACCTAGGAGAAGAATACAGTCACATCAATAGAGACGTTAACTGAGAAATTCTTTTCAAATTATATTTGTTGAAAGGGGCAGTACCCATAAGCTAAATGCCTGGCCTTTTGAGGCTGAATTGATATATAGAGTCATGTACCAGCTCCAGAGAGCTTTTGTCTCAAAAGTTCCAACTCAATTTATTTTCTTTACAAAAAAAATTTTGCCAACATTTATTGAGTGCTTACTGTGAGCCAAGCATTTTTCCACGTGCTTTAAGAATAGTTGTTTGGGCTTCCCTGGTGGTGCAATGGTTGAGAATCTGCCTGCCAATGCAGGGGACACAGGTTCGAGCCCTGGTCTGGGAAGATCTCACATGCTGTGGAGCAACTAGGCCCGTGAGCCACAGCTATTGAGCCTGCGCGTCTGGAGCCTGTGCTCCACAACAAGAGAGGCCGCGATAGTGAGAGGCCCACGCACCGCGATGAAGAGTGGCCCCCGCTTGCCACAACTGGAGAAAGCCCTCGCACAGAAACGAAGACCCAACACAGCCATAAATAAATAAATAAAATTTTTTAAAAAAGAATAGTTGTTCATATAGTCCTCACAGCAACTCAGTGATGTCAGTAATATTTTAATCCCAGTTTTAAGGGGAATAGACTAGGACACAGAGAAGTAGGGTAAGACCACTCATGAGACAGTATGGTTTCAGAGCCTACATTCTTCTTCATAGCTGTGTTCTGGAGAAGAGTAATTAATAACAAATATGGAGTAGTGAAAAGTTTCAAATGTATGTAAGTCCACAAACAAGGTGCTACCCAATGAAACCCTTATCTAAGTAAATGTGAAGACCTTAGAAGACAGAAACAGCTTCCCAAAGGCTAACCTCGTAAACCCACACTTAGAAAGTGCTGACATTCCAAATATAAAAAAGAAGAAAAACATCCTGAGATTTCAACATAAAGTACAACTCACAATAGCTGTGCTGAAAACATTCAACTAAACTAATGAAAACTACAAAGATATGCATAAATATGGGGTCAATTCTAAAATTGTACCAACTTACCAGTAATTTATAATCATGAGGATCATATTGAAATAGTCTGACACCAGGATTGTTGGTCTGTTTTTCTAAAACACTCTTCACTGGAGTAACAGCAGGAGCCACAAACAAAGAATTTATCGGATTTCCTAGACAAAATATATGTACATAAACATATATTTTTAAATAATTGAGTTTAACTATATTAAAAATATGAACAAATTCCAGATTAAGAGGTTAACAGAAGTAACGGCCAAATGATGTGTGATGCTTGTTGGATCCTGATCTGAAACAACACTAAAGAGACAATTTTGAGAAAATAGGGGAAGTTTTACTATGAAGAGATTAAAAGAATTATTGTTGATTTTGTTAGGTAAGTTAATGGTATTATTATTATGTAAGTTATCCATATACTTAGCAATGAATACAGAAGCATGTAGGGCTGAAATACATTTGATGTATGAGATTTATGTTCAAATACTTCAGAAAAAAAAGAATAAAGAATCATAGATAAAATAAATGTGGCAAAATCTTGACAGATATTGAATATAAGTGATGGTGCACGGGGGTTTGTCTTATAATTCTCTCTACCTATATATATATTTGAAAATTTTCATAATAAAACTATCCAACTTATTACAAGTACACACACACAAAATATACAAAGCTAGTTTCTTTTGTACTCTACCTATAACAATATTCCAATAATTATATAATAAGAATTTGATTTAAGTGTCACCATGTTTTACACATATCTGCTATAACAGCAGTCCCCAACCATTTTGGCACCAGGGACCAGTTTTGTGGAAGGCAATTTTCCCATGGGTGGGGGGGGGGGGGGGGAGGCTTCAGGGGGTAATGGGAGCGATGGGGAGTGATGGGGAACAGCAGATGAAGCTTCGCTCTGGGCGGCCCCGTTCCTAACAGGCTGCAGACAGCGGTCCGCAGCCCAGGGGTTGGGGACCCCTGTATTATAGAACTAAATTTCTGAGTAAAAAAGCTATCAAATGCTGAAAATTGTCATTTTTACCAAGCCCACTCATTCTAGATGAAGAAGGTAAAGCATTTCAAAAATGTTCCCCAGGGCTTCCCTGGTGGCGCAGTGGTTGAGAGTCTGCCTGCCGATGCAGGGGACACGGGTTCGTGCCCCGGTTTGGGAAGATCCCACATGCTGCGGAGCGGCTGGGCCCGTGAGCCATGGCCGCTGAGCCAGCGCGTCCAGAGCCTGTGCTCTGCAACGGGAGAGGCCACAACAGTGAGAGGCCCACGTGCCGCAAAAAAAAAAAAATGTTCCCCAATTACTGAAAAAAAAAATACATACTGATTTTTCTCCTGGCTGACTACTAAAAAATCAGAACTCTTATTTTGTTAACTCTCAGTTTTTTTGCCCTTATACAGAAGTTATCTTTAAAAATAGATAATCGTTGTCTTATTTAATGCTAGAGCTTCTTCTATTTTTTTTCTTTTAATGCGGAGTAGATGACAATGTCGATAAGCACTTAAAAGTAGGAGCTTAATTTATTTTAAACCAACAGTAAACTGTGCTTTGCTCTTTAAATTCTGAGAAGTAAATCTAATCATATCAAAGGAAACTTGAGTCTAGCAGGTAAATAAAAAGGAGTGATTCTCTAAACTTGAGGACCTAAAAGAATATTTGAGTGAACTGAGGGTTTCAGAGGCTTTTGTGTCAACAGCAGTCAAATGATGACGGCCTTGTGGAGCTAAAAGGAAGAAACCCAGTGGCAGGACTAAATACGATTTGGACAGTTGCCATCACTCACAGAAGGTAACTGAGAAAAAGCAGGTGCTGGCAGGTAGATTTAATAAAACTTTTAATTTACTGGATCAGTAAAAATTAATGGATATTCACTATTTTGTTCTAGCATCTTGGACTGAGGAGATGCAAATAGAATGTTATATTACCTTTTTTATCTGAAAGAACCATAATACTATCTCTGTGAGTGTGTCCATAAAATTGTCCTGCAATGATGTTACTGTATTTTCTAAAAATATCTATCAATTTCTCATTATAGTATTCTCTCATTGCCGTGATGCTCCTTGAATAAGGCAGGTACCCCACTGGAACATGAGCTATGATGTACACCTGGAGAAAGAAACACAAAGAGGACTGATGAGAATCTTTTCGCACATTTTTCAGAGCAAAATGATTTAGATACCCAAGATTGAAAGTATATTAGCTAAATTTTAGAAAGCAAATATACCATTTCTCCTATTTATTTACCAAAAACAGATGAAATTATGAAACTATTAATGGCCCTATATTTGCACTTGTCTATTGGAACTACATGGTTTATGATGTAAGGTAACTGTGACGTTGCTCAAAATTTTTTTTTTAAATATCAACAGATGTCAATCAATCCCCAGAGCATTAAAAGCAAAATAAAACAAGCAACACAGCAGAGGCAAATCACAAAGTGTTTCATGTAAGAACATCTTTAAATTTTAATACTTTTATTAATACCTGACCCCACTCAGGTCTAATAAGTATACAAGTTTAACCCTCTGTTCATCCCATGATGACGTTGGTCTACGGCATCTACCTTCTCCTTATTTTGCTGAGAGATGTTCAGTGTATTTTCTAGCCATTCAAACTGATTTGCTGGGTCAGTCTTATTTAGGGTCACGATATTTGGGCCATAGTATAAGTTTGTGTTGAGACTGATGATCCTAAAGTTCAGATTAGTTGAAACTTTCTGTGAATAAAAGCCACCTATAAAAACAAATTTGAAACACATTCTGGAATAATACACACACAGATACATATACACTGTGAAAGCAAAATCTTAATTAAGGTTTTCAATCCATTTAGGCAGGTTATACTTATTTCTTATTCTTTAGTTTGCACATACATAGGCTGTCATTGGATAAGAATCAGATTTAACAAACATTTATTGAAAACCTACTATGTGTCAAGTCCAATGCTGCCACTTCCACAAATTGAGGTGACAACAGTTGTATCCAACATTCACATGAAAAGATAACTAAATGTTTTGGCACTAGGCAATGAGGTACTGAATTTTATAAAAGAAAGATTAATACATCAACTTCTACTTTTGTATGTTTGGGGAATTAAGATAAGAGATATTGTGAAATCTAAAATCCAAAGAATGGGAACACACACGGATCTTGCCAGAGAATACTGAGGAAGAAATGTCAGATAAACCAGAGCTGCTACAATCTCAGGTGAGATGAGGCTTAAAGGTATAACCCCACTCACACCTGTGAACCAGTGGTGACAGAACACCCTGCTCCCGTGGCACTTTCAGCCACTGGGACCCTGCCCCTGCTTTCTTCGCCCTGGGCCCACTCACCATCCATGCCACTCCCCGGCTTTCAAACATGATAAGGCCTCCAGAGAAACTGGGCATAGGGACTCTGCAGAATTGGCACACCCAAGCAAACATTAAAGATCTAAGTCTAAACAACATGAACTGAGATAAAAAACAGAGATAAAATAGGGATGAGTAAATCTTTCACTTACCTTTCCTTAGAGTACTAATAGCTTCTTCATCCAGCCATGGCTTCCAGAGGCTTGCTACTGCATTGTACACCTTGCTGGTGAATACAGGCAGTTGATCCTGGCCACAAACAATATAATCCACCAGTGAAACTCTGAAGATATGTGGATGAATTAATGTAAATATCACTTGAGCGGTTACTACTATGTTAGGCATCTGGAGATGCAGGAATACTAGATAGACTTGATTTTCAAGGATTTATAACTTAATTGGGGAGATGGAGGACAAAATGCAACCAATCATCTGTAAGACAATGTGCTAGGTACCACCACAAGGGTTCTGGGGGTGGAAAAGCAAGAACAATCAAGTCTAGCCCAGAGAGTCAGCAGGGAGAGTGAAAAGAGCATTTGAACCAGAACTTGAATAATGATTTCATCAAGTTGACAAGAAAGGGAGTCAAAGCAAAAATAATGGCCCAGACACCAACACAGTGCCATATACAGAAACAAGCCCTTGTTTCAGCGTGACTGGGGTACAGAATGGACGTGAGAATATGCTTATTATAGAGACACCGAAGGCAGGTTTTAGCCTGAATATGTAGGACCTGGTGTAGCATGCCTAGGAGATGGATTTCAGAATTAAACAAAGTCCTCTGGAATGTTAATACTAGTATAAAGCTTTTTAACTTCTTGAATGAAGACTTATAACCACATGTTTTTGATTTTTTGTTTGTTTTATTGGAGTATATAGTTGCTTTACAGTGTTGTGTTAGTTTCTGTTGTACAGCAAAGTGAATCAGTTGTACGTATACATATATCCTCTCTTATTTAGATTTCCTTCTCATTCAGGTCACCACAGAGCACTGAGTAGAGCTCCCCGTGCTATAAGGGTGTGGTGAAAAGCGAACCCTCCTGCACTGTTGGTGGGAATGTAAACTGATACAACCACTATGGAAAACAGTATGGAGGTTCCTTAAAAAACTAACAATAGAACTACCATGTGACCCAGCAATCCCACTACTGGGCATATACCCTGAGAAAACCGTAATTCAAAAAGAGTCATGTACCACAATGTTCACTGCAGCTCTATTTACAATAGCCAGGACACGGAAGCAACCTAAGTGTCCATCGACAGATGAATGGGTAAAGAAGATGTGGCAAATATACACAACAGAATAATACTCAGCCATAAAAAGAAACGAAATTGAGTTATTTGTAGTGAGGTGGATGGACCTAGAGTCTGTCATACAGAGTGAAGTAAGTTAGAAAGAGAAAAACATGTTTTTGATTTGAAGTCTCTTTATGTCAGCCTAAATCATATCATTCTGATTTTTTAAATAATATATGTATAATACATTATACCGTATTTTTATCATCCTATTTTATCATATTATAATAAAGTATCTTTATGGTGACATAAGCGCAGGGGAAGAAAAAAAACTTCAAGAAAGTACATACTGAATAAAAACCCAGAAATCATTTGTGAAATTGGGTAATTATTCCTATATTTCATTTCAAAAAATTATGGTAAAAAACTGAAGCCATTTTCTTCACTCTCTTCATTTCCTTCTCTATATTGGTGACGCAGACCTATTTCTTAAAGGAGTTTCCCTGTCATCAGTAATTAAAATTCTTAGTTTATTTTTTTTTTAAAGATGACACCCAAGTCACATTAGTTCCTAATACATGTGCCTAATACATAATGAAAATTCAAATATATTCAGGGCAAGTAATAAGCAAATGACTTCTTTTAACTGAAACTGATTTTCCAAAGGATATTTGCAATTTGTGTCGGCGACCAGAGTCATCTGTCTGAAAATTACACAATGGCTTAGGCCAATCTAAATTCTGATTAAAAATTGGTAATTATCATCATCATCAAAAACCTAATATCTTAGCCATTTGTTTACATTGGGATGGATGCCAAGATACTGGTATATGGTCATGTAGAATCAAAATTATATAAACGTTGCTCTAGATTTTTCTGTCTATTTTAAGTATGAAAAACATGAGCACCAGAGAAGTTAAGTGATTTATCCAGGGAGAGCTGGTCAGTCCCAGAGCTGGGTCTAAATCCCAGGTCTTTCTACCATCACTCTTACATTCAGTTATCTATTGCACAATGGGAAGTGACCCACTCACCAGTTTGGTGGCACCAGCCTTGCCATTGTAGGAGTACCAGAGGACCCTGGCCCAGACTGCTTCCTTGAGTGGCAATGGGAAGAAATCCCTGGGCTGTCCACACAAATATCTACTTCTGATGTAGTGGGTGGGAATTTGCGTCTGTATTTGTATGTTGATGTAGCTATGTTTAAATACATGTTTATGGGCTTTTAGTGGAGAAATAACACATCCGATTTATTTGTTACTAACATTCACTGGAATTTGATCTCAGATATGAGAAGTCTCTAGGAGAATTTGTCGTAGGGCTTTCGTGTTACATCTGACCTTCCTGAAACTGGGATGGAAGGATGGCAGTAGAATAATAGAAGGTTTTCAGGTATAAGGTCATAAGCTAGGAAGAGAAAAAAATTAACTGTTTAAGGTATAAAGGCTGCCAGTTTATCCTAGCTGTACATATAATCAGATATATTTTAGAAGTTGGATAGCATCTATATCTTTGAATTATTATAAGATTTGGCTTTGCAGAAAGAAGGCAGAGATAAAAGTAAAATAAAACCAATCCTCAGGGGAGTTAGGAAACATGTGTCCCATGTCACTGCTTCATGCTACAAAACCACCACTTCACTTACTGAGGGCTTATCATGTGCCAGGTAGGAAACTATGCCCTTTCCACATAGTGTCGCTAATTCTCCCCAAAACTTTGCAAAGTAGGTATTATTGCTCTTGTTTATAAATGATCAGGGATAATTATATGCATTATCCAAGTTGCTCAAGCTATTAGAAGCAGGACAGAACAGGCTTTTAGCCTCTAGTGAATGTGACTCTAAACCCCACATGTTTTCCATTACAACAGTCTACCTGTCACCTAAAGCATATAAAAACAATGTGTGTAACCTCTGATTCCTGGATATTGCCCATTCCCAAGCCTCTGCCCTGTGTGGTCTAACATCTCAACAGTAACAAAAGCTGACCACTGGTTGAAAGGCCAACTCGCAAAGACTCACATATTGTTCATCTCAAGACAGGAGGCCGGGCTCAAGAAGTCACTTGAAACTTAAGCTCATCATAGAGTGCAACTTTTCGAAGTCACATTATTCACATTAATTAACTATTATAATCAAAACCTTCATTAAGCAGCCTTTGGACATGAGATGGAAAAGATATGCTAAACCAAAAGAAAAATGTAGACAAAGAAAGGCATGAAAGTAAATATAATGTTTAGGAAATATTGATATGTTAGTCTGGCAAGAGTAAAGGATGTGTGAAAGGATGTTTGTTTAACTGAACACAAAAGATCCAGGATGTGGGCTCTCCCACTAAGTGACTGTGAGCACTGGAACAAGCAACTTAACATTTCTGGGCCTCAGTTTTCTCTTTTGTAAAATGAAGAGTTGATCTAGACAAGGGGTCAGCAAACTTTTTCTATGAAGGGTCAAAAAATAAATATTACTTTAGGCTTCTGGGCCACATAGTCAATGTGGCAAGTATTCTACTCTGCTGTTACAGTACACAAGCAGCCACAGGCAAAACAGAAAGCACAGCCATGGCTGTGTTCCAGCAAAACCTTATCTACAAAAACAAGTGTCACACTGCATTCGGACCACAGGCCCTAGTTTGCCAAGCCCTGAACTAAACAACAATCTCTAAGATCTCTTGAATCTGAACAAATCTAAGATTCTACACTGCTAGAGCAGATCGCTGTAACCAGCGCTGCTATCCGATTGTTATGCACAGGCTGTTTAATAAACAGCCACCCTAATAGGTTGAAGCCTGGGCCGTATCAGGCATTAAAAATATTCCGAACATGCTCTCTACCTTGAATCACATCTTGAACATGGACCTCCCTTTTGGGTTCTTATGATGATTTGCTATGCTTTTGTTTTTAATCACAATCCAGCTTAGATCAGAGTATGGGTAGCTTAGTAGGCCTAAGAGAAATTCTGAAAAATGTAAACATTTGTCAACATTAACCGTTTTTGCTAACCTGAACATGGAAATGCAAATGAACAAAATTATTCAAAAGCAAGGAGAAACTGAGGAAGAATACAAAGGAAATCAAGAATTAATAGCTCACAAACTAGGTAATTTGATTCCAAAATCTCACTATGGATATAACTTTTTTTTTTTTTGCGGTACGCGGGCCTCTCACAGTTGCGGCCTCTCCCGTTGCGGAGCACAGGCTCCGGACGCGCAGTTCAGCGGCCATGGCTCACGGGCCCAGCCGCTCCGCGGCACATGGGATCTTCCCGGACCGGGGCATGAACCTGTGTCCCCTGCATCGGCAAGCGGACTCTCAACCACTGCGCCACCAGGGAAGCCCTGGAAAAAACTTTTTATGAACTATTAGGAGTCCCTTTCAAGTCCCCAAAGCACTTGTCTTGCCTTCCTCGATGGTTAGCATTAAGAGCAAACTCCACCTCCATGAGCGCCCCTCCCATGCCCTATCATAGGCTAGTTATCAGCATACTTTTGACACTATTGATGGAAAAAATCCTTTAAGCATTTCTAGAAGTTGTGGTCAAATTTACCTGTGGCCAATAGTCATGATTACCCAGTGCAGGGAAAACCTGGAGATTTGGAAAGAGACTCTGGACTGTGGTTGTCATATTAGCAATCACATTTATGACCGTGTCTGTTGAGAGTTCACGCACTGGAACATGAGGTGGGCTATCCCTGAAAAGGAGACAGAATCATAGAGAACAAAATCAGTTTCTATAAAAAGTCACTAGACTCCCGTGTAATGCCTTGCTGTATTGTCATTGTCAAATTCCGCTATAAATCAACAGATGATAAAGAGTTGATAAACTACTCTTCATTTACCTTTGTCCCACAGGGAAGCCTATAAAAAAGAAAATTTGTGAAATACAAAAGATAAACTGGAAATCTCAGTCTATTTCACTGCCTGACTGAAGATTTATAAGAGGCAAAAAATTTTAGCAATTAAAAGCACAGATTCCAGGGCCAAAAGTGCCAGGTTTGCCATTTATTAGTTGTGTGCACTTGGGCAAGTTACTTAGACACTCAGTGCCTTCATTTCCTTATCTGTAAAATGGGAATAATAATATCCATTGTAAAGATTAAATGAGTTACAATGTATAAATTAAAACAGTGCCACAGTCATTACTTCAGGTCCAGGAAATATTAGGCCTCTTCACTCTGTCATGATGGATGGAATTTGTTAATTATACCACCAGAAGATGATGTTTGCAAAATCGCTATCACAGGTTAACTCCCATTGTTGCCTTTTGTTTTTGGATTATTTAACCAAGACCTATTATCACATTAATAAACACCTCAAGACACTGACACAAATATGCTGTTTATGGATTCATCTCTTAGTTAACATGGACATATTTCTAGAGCCTGTATTCTAAACAAACAAACAAAGAAAGAAAACTGGGTCTTTTAAAGTTTTTCTTAACCCTAATAATGTTGATTAATTTGATCTAGTATTTTTTTAAACCCCAAGAATTCTTAAAACGTAATATATATTCTTATGAAATTCGGCATTCTAATGAAGCTTAGGACACTGTAGATACATACTGAGTAACTAAGGGTATTTATATAATCACTCACCCTGTCCATATCATAAAAGATGCTTCCTGTCCTGAATTTTTAATAAAATCAAATGCTGACAAAATGAGGTGATAAGGAGAATCACATAGAACATCTCCAAAAGGGCCAGGATTGGAGGCATTTGCACCTTTCGAGGAAGTGCACACTTTCGTGTGGTCATCTGTGATGTGGTAAGTAGGGTCTAAGTGTAAGTCAGTCACGTGCCAAAACTGTCCTGGTGATGAGAAAATAAATGCTGTTAAATCTACTTCTCTTTTGGAATTCCCATACCAGTATTTACAGTAAGACGAGACAGTTGCTCCACCCTGTGATAGAGGAAAGCCCTAGTCATTTAAATATTCATATGCCCTGAAGTTAAATACACTCCCTGCCAGAAATAAGGATTCTAAAGACAATAGGAAGACTTTACTAGAATTTACTATTTACACACATCAGAACTGATGAAGTCCCTCAAAGCATGCCTACTTAATAAAGACTACATGACAAACATAAGTTTGCATAGTGATATATATGGAGACATCCTTCTGGGAAGTCAATAATAATCCCATATTGTATCTTAATAGCATGTCTCCTTCCTTGTAGCATTTGAGGTTTTAGAATTTATTTATTTTCTTATAGAAAAATGGACAAAAATATGATGTGTTTTGTTATGGTCACACAGTGAATAGATTGCAGAACTTGTAACTAATAAATCTCACTCCTAATTTCTTGTAAAACCTTGCCTCTCAACATTAATGAAAAAAAGAGTCTTCAGTTTAGCTTTCAGCAAAAAATAGCCACTGCCAGAGGTTCTTAAAAGCTATTTAACAGAGGAACATCTTCTATCATACACTTGTATAAGATGTTCATAATATTAAGGGAAGCATTTGTTAGAGAAGATGCTTCCACTGGGTTTTCAGGGAGAAGCCCAAGACCCACTTGATAGCACCCCTGACTGGAAATCATCTTGAGAAAGATTCTTTCATTGAAGGAAACACAGGTTAATCATAGTAGTATCTCTCTTTATTAAGTATTTACTATGTACCAGACATTGTGATAAGCAATTTAAATATACGGTGTCATTGCATTCTCAAAACTACTCTCTGAAGTAGGAATCACTATTCTCATTTTAGAGTTGAGAAATTAATGCTGGGTCAGTTAGAAAATTTGCTCTAGTATATATAGCTTAATAAATGGCAGAGACAAAATCTGACCCCTCATTTTGAAGGGCCCTCAAGTTTGCTTATACTTAATTCACATATATCTTCAGTGATTTTGCTGCCTTCTCATATGCAACCAATAAACTGTTTTAATATTGAGACTTTTTCACACTTCGAATTTAGAGCTCACTCTGATTAGGACTAATTTACAATAGGAAACATCAGAAGTGACATAGCAGCAGTACTACACCAGAAGCATGGAGCAAATAAGTAGAATGCAAACTTTTATCTATACAAATGATAAAAGCTAAGTATGATAAAAGCTAAGTATGCACCTGAGCAAACACTTGGATAAAACCCAAAGCTGGATAATAAAGTAGAAAATTGAAAGCAGTTAACTTAAGGTGGAAAAGGTGTACTACATTTAGGATGTTATTTCTTTGCAAAGTTGTTGTAATTTTATAACACATTTAAGTTCACAGCTAAGAAGTGGTAGACAGAAGATCCAGAACAAAGTAGTCATTAAATAGTCTTTATGGTCAATTACTTGGTATTCAGCCCCCATTTGAAAACATTTGCCAGGAGTTATTTTCTTCCATAATGCAGAAAGCACTGCAACTCTTTTTCCAGCTTGGACATACTTTACCCAGCACATAAAGTGGTTTGGCAGATAGCTCAGAATCATCCTGGTGGCTGCCCTTCCTTGGGGTATAAATATATACTGCATCTCTATTTTACGTAAATATGTACATTATTATTCATAGAATGTTAAGGTATGTAGTAAACTACACACAGAACAGCACAGTGTTATGGTTAAGGATGGGGGCTCTGGAATCAGACCGCCTTACTTCAAATCCAAGCTCTTCTTCCTAATCTAGTTGTATGACCTCAGCCTGTTTCATCTGTAAAATGGGAATAATATTATTGTCTCCTGAATGAGGGTTAAGTGACTTAGTAGCAGAAAGAGCCTGGCATCTGGTAAGCTCAACATTAGTTGTATTGTTATTCATTTGTAATGTCAAGCTTGCATCTGAGATTGAATTTCCTCATTTCCAAGTAGTAGCTGAAATGTATTGAGTACTTACTGTAAGTTTAATACTGTTTCTTATGCTTTATGTGTATTGACTGACCATTATTTCCATTTTACAGGTAAGGAACTGCAGCACTCAGAAATTAAGTGCAAGTCACGTATGTCATATTCAGGAAATCTGACTCCAGAGTCCACACGGCTCTTAACCACTGCACACAGTACATCTCTGTGCGTGCTCACAGTCAAATGTCCTTCCAGAAAAAAGAAGTCCTTCCGTCTCACTTGCCTCGTGTAAGATAGATAACAGCTACACCTATAGGGGATACTGTGACAAGTAAGGGACATGAAATTATTAATATATTAAACTTTGTAAAACAAAACTGGAAACACATTAAGGACACATTCCTCTGATGTAACCTGTTACCTGGATTTATATATCCCCAGCATCTAGAATACGTCTGACCTATAGTAGGTCCTCTACAAACATTCTTTAACTGGCACAGGCAGATTCAGAATTTCCTCAATATCACCTGGTGACTCAGTAATGAAAGCTGAAAGGAACCTGTCTCTCCAGACTTGCAGTCTAGCACCCTTTCCACTACATTGGATTGCTAGACAGATAAGTGAGGAATAATTATTTAGGTGCAGTGAAGGGTGTCTTTAAATAGAAGCCAAGAATGGAGCCCTGACAGGTTCTTAACCTGGGATTTATGAATAATGAACCTCTGGAGGCCTCACCTCCCACCTCTAATGAAAATTATACAAAATACTGTGTGTGTGTGTGTGTGTGTGTGTGTGTGTGTGTGTGTCCAAGGCCAGAGACCTGGCCTGTGGCAGAGCCCACACTTCAATTGATTCTCTGGTTCGCAGTCCAATGTCCTTTTCACTACACAACAATTGCTTTCTTGTTCTGCAGATAATCTTTAAAAAGATTCCCACATATGTATATGTGTATATGTGTGTGTGTTGTAAACATATCTGGACAAATGCTCAAAACAATCTTATCTTATCTTTGGGATAACGTATCCCAAAGAAGCTAGTATATCATAATTCAGATGTTTGGACATATGGTTGTTGTTTAAAATAGGTGTTTTTGTTTATTTCTTTATAATGTCAGTTCCTACCAAATACTCCATCAGGTCCTGACTTACTAAATTTAAAAACTTGTAGCCAAACAAAACCAGGTGAAGTCTCCCTGGGCTATTGTCCTCTGACCACTGGGACTTGACAGGACAGAAAGCTGAGACCAGGAATTGGCGCGTGTATTTGTTTCCCAACACACACACACACACACACACACACACCACGGTGTAAAGAAGTCCTAGCATTTGGGGTGGGAACAGGGGGAGAGGGAAGGTCACATCAAGCGGAAAGCATATGAATTAATATATCCAATGTGAACCTGCTGAATGGACACTTCAGCAGGTCTTTGAACCTTGGTTCCCCCTCTCCCTTTCTCTTCCCCAGGTGTAGCTTCCCTGCAGAAACAGGGTGGTGTGAAGTGGAGACTCAGCAGACCCCAGAAAGCTGTCATTGAGGCCTTCAGCAATCAGATCCTTAAAACCAAAAGGTGCATTTGCCATGGGTTGGCCTCCTGCATCCTAGGACATTTTATCTCAAAATCCTAAACAGCCACATAATTAAAGAAAAACAGCTTTAATGAAAGCAGAAGCCAGCAGCATGCATAAGTATTTGAGGACAATTTCTTGTTATCACTGACAGTTGGGAAATAAGATTGACAGTTCTTGCTTTCAACTGCCTGACAGCTGAGTCATGAGGACTTGGCTCCTGAACAAACAGGAGGCATTTTTTGCCCAGGCATTTCCGAAATCATGTGAGAGTCAAGTGATGGAGAAGAGAGGAGGTTTCAGAGCCAAGTACTAAGCTGTTTCAGAGACAGCTATGCCCAAACCACAGAACACAACTCCACCCATCCCATTTCGCCCCCTCTAGATAACAAAGCAATTATGTTTAAAGTTGAGTCAGGGAGGTGAGGGTGGGCACCTTGACCTTTAGCACTGAAGGCTCAGGTGGCATCACAAAATCTCTCATCCAACGTTTATGCATTCTGGACCAGTGGTTCTCAGACTCTAGCATCTATGACAATCACCTGGACGATTTGTTAAACAGATCGTTGGGGCTCAATTCTCCGAGAGTTTCGGGTTTGGCAGGTCTGGGGTTGGGCTAAAAACTTGCATTTTTAACGCATTTAAGCAATGCTGGTGCTACTGGTGCCGGACCCCACTTTGAGAACCACTTCTGTACAGGCGCTGGGCTAAGCGTTGGGAATGAATTAACATCGGCCCTGCCGGCGGGGAGCCCAGGGGCGTCCAGGTAAAGTGAAGGCCCCGTGCGTTCTAACGTAGACTAACCAGCGCGGAGCGCCAGGGCCGCAACCGCGCTGGGGTTGGAGGGGTGGGAAGAAAAGGCCACCAAATTTGACGCGCAGGACAGAAGAAACTCAGTCCCACTGAAATTTACGCTGCTGAGAAGCTGAAACCCCGCAGCTCCCCCTCTGCTCTGGGCAGATTCAGGGCCTCTGGAAATGCGGGACACCCAGCCCCCAGCTTCTTTTTTCCTTGAGACACCCAGGTTTTCCTTCCTTTCCTCCGGGCACAAAACACACCTGGAGACGCAAAGCGAAAACAACTGCACGGGAGGAGCAGCGGCCCCCACAGTCCGCAGCCAGTCCCGGCCTCCCCGCCGAGCCGAACTGGCGCTCGTGTCCTTCCGTCGCCCTCGCCCTCCCCGCGCCCCGAAGGGGGAGTCGCAGCCCAGAGCCTTGGCTGGGGCCACTGCTGCCCACACGCACTTTTCTCGGCTTTGCGCAGGCGCTCTGGCCGCCAATCCCGGGCAGCTTCCAGCAGGATAAGGGTACAGACGACTCACCCACCGCCGGACTGGGACTCGGGCCGCCAGCGGGAGCCAGAGGCAGTCCGAGGCCGGGGCGGCAGTGCCAAGCAGCCAGCAGGCAGCAGACGAGCGCGCCCAGCCGCGCCATCGCGGGTCGCGGCCACGGCCCTGGGAGTCCCGAGGCTCCACACGACTGTAGGGCCCGGGGCTGGGGAGGAGGAAGACCTCTGCTGGGGTTGACGCCCAGTGGTCACGTGAGAGGGCAGAGTCCTTAATGAGTAGGCTCGGTTGACTTTCAACAGCTGTCTAGCTATAATCCGGCTTTTCCCGTTGCTGTTTGTGTCTCAACGTCAGTAACTGGCCTGGGAAGGAATGTGCTTGGAGCAACCCCTCGCAGATCATCTTCCCTAAGTGCCACCTGACCCTGAGCGCATGGGACTCCTCTGCAGAAGTGATGCAGAGAACCTCGAAGTGTCTCGATTTCAACTAGGTCAGCAGAGATTTGGGATACAGTGTGGGCCCTCGACCAGCAGTGTCAGCACTACCTGCGAAGTCTAGTTAGAAGGGAAAATTCCCAGGCCGGGCAGGGACCTACTGAGCCACAAACTCTGAGGGTGAAGCCTAGTCGTTTGTGTGTACAAGTCCTCTACGTGACGCTAAAGTGATGGTGATGTTTGAGAACCACTGCTCAGAAAACACTAGGTTTCAGTTTTTTATTCGTTTGGCTTTTTTTCTTTGTTTTTGAAACTGAGAACAATGTCTCAGAACCATATTCTATGCATTCCAGAGATATACAAAAATCATAGAACTGGTTGATTTTACTCTTTAAGGAATTTTTGAAGATACTCAGTCTGACAAAGGAGCCAAGATCCCCAAACTTCGTTGGGTTCTGTGGTCCTTCTATTACCATTTATGAGGATGCTGACTTCTTTAAGATAAGGGAACATGTAGTTTAAATTTGTAGGGCGTGGAATTCCTCTGAAGAAGAAAAAACCCTCCAGAATTACTAACCTCATAAAAGATGTTGTAAAGTGTATTTGTTTCCCAACAGAGAAAACCTTATTTTGTATGCTGTGTAATTTAATGGGAAAGTGTCTCATGAAACGGGCTTTGAAATGGGAGTTAGGGTGCCTCCATTTTATGCTTCATAGGCTGCCAGGGCTGTTCAAGTTCTGCTTCAGCTTTAGGATGTATCAAAAGCCTTTGGAGAACCAAAGTGCTTTCCTATTGTGGAAAAAATTGTCCTTGGAGTTTCTCAGTCAACAACCTCAAGAGTGTGGAGGAAAATGGAGCAAGATTTTTTTAAAAAAAGGAAAATGGATGTGAGGGAACAACTTTAAGGACAGCAATATAACTTTCATGTTTCTAGGACAAGCATTTTGAAAGATAGAAAAAGGATTTTAAAAAATTGTAAAAATAGCAATTCTCGCTCTTCTTTTGCCAATTTTCAGTCAGCTTTACTGGAAGTAAATTGGTTGTGAAATAATTCTTCTTAAGTAAGCATAAAATATGGCGTACACATTTTGAAACCTAAGAAGTGCTTGCAGTTTTAAAAAGGCAACATATTGAGTTAATGGGTAGAAACACTATCCTCCCTTTGACTCCCTCTGCTTTCTGTTGTTTTCCTTTATACCCTCTCTCTGAGGAGCACAAAGCTACAGTGCCTTACCATCTCTGGGTGTATACCTCACACCTGGGCATGTATTTGTAGGTCCCCATGTTCCAGGTGTAGGTGTAATTTGTTGTGAGCATGTGTATCTGGGTGAGAGACTGCACCAGTGACAAAGTGGCTCGTGACTAGATTTCACAAGACAAACTTTAGCATAGTCAGTATCTGAGATCTTGGAATTTCAGAGATGTTCTTCCAGGGCCAGTTGGTCAAATTGCCTTTGGGCTTAGTAGTTTTTCCTTTTCAAATGTGTTGAAAAATTTTTAAAGAGGCAAACCAGAAAAGTTAGTACCTTGGCAGGTTACTGTATGAGATAGAATATAGCTTGAAGGAAAATGATTTGTAACTACCTTGTAAACATTTAGGAAGTAAATATCCGTGTTATTTGTTTTCCTAGAAAACTGCATTTGATCTACCACTGCAACTCTTGAGCTTTTAACCCAGTGTAACTTTGCTTCCCACTAGGCCATCCCAAAACTTTTCCATTTTTCAGACAGTTGTTACGGAAATGAATGCCAGGATGTTATTTGACCTAATTATAATGAGACGAAGCTAAATCCCTATCCTTGCCCTTGTATCTTTAAGAATAGAGAGGCCAGAAGCTGTGCTTCTATCAGAGCATAGGCTGAAATCACCAAGAGAAAGCAGTCTTCCTCCAGAAGCAGAGATGAAGGTTTTCAGAGCTATTGGAGCAAACACCCTCTCTATGTTCTGTTTCATGCTTTTAAAGACAAAGGTAGACTCTAGTTTTAGTAATGGTAACCTGAGCTAGACCATTATATCCTGATATTCAGTAATAATTGTGCATTCACGTGTTAAATCCTATAGCTGCACTTTAGATTTTTTCTACTCTTTACTGCAGTAGTTAAAAGTAATACAAGGGCTTCCCTGGTGGCGCAGTGGTTGAGAGTCCGCCTGCCGATGCAGGGGACACGGGTTCGAGCCCCGGTCCGGGAAGATCCCACATGCCGCGGAGCGGCTGGGCCCGTGAGCCATGGCCGCTGAGCCTGCGCGTCCGGAGCCTGTGCTCCGCAACGGGAGAGGCCACAACAGTTAGAGGCGCGCGTACCGCAAAAAAAAAAAAAAAAGTAATACAATAGTCAGGTAATAGTATCATTGTGTTGAACTGTGTACGTTAAGGGAAGTTTCCTCATACTTATATCTGTAAGTTAATTGGACCTTGAATTAACTTATAGAAACTTACTGAAAATATTGGGTTGATTAAAAATGAATACTGAATGTCCTGATAAATATTTACCCTTTCCCTGCCCCATGTACCAACCTTCACAGAGGCTAACAGGAAAGTTTTCCTAAGAAGTAATTCAGGGAAAATAAAATCTTACATTTTTGTTTCAGAAGAAAATTTAGCTGAAATAATTAATTTTTGAGAAGAAATAAGCGGGAAGATTGGAAGGTTTGCAGTTCTCAGTATTATTCACTAGTCAAGAGAACTTGGACATGTTCATCGAATCTTCAGTTTCCTCATCGGTAAAGTAAAAATAATAATATCTGCCTTACCTGCTTCACATTGTGGGTTTGAAAACATGTACAAAAATCATCTTATAAACAGTGAAATACGAAATAATATTTGTACTTTACAAATGCAAATCTTAGCCAGTCATAAACAGATATATACCTTCCTTTGGTCAACTCAGTTCCACCAACCTCGCACACCCCTGCTTCCCCACCACCACACACACACACTGGCACACACACACACACACAATGCCCTCTGCACACTCCATTTTATCCATTTTAGCACTTATAGACTTTGTTCAGCTCAGTGTACTTGTCTGGAGATACATCTTTATAGTGTTAGCACAAGTTCGTGTGCCCAATGCACAATGAGGCCAAACAAACTGAAACGTCAGAGTCTGGAGCAGAGAAAGGTTTATTGCAGGGCCATGCGAGGAGACAGGTGGCTTCTGCCCTAAAAGCCCTGAGCTACCTGAAGTGTTTGGCCAAACATTTTTAAAAGCCAGGTGAGGGAGGTGGGGTCGCAGGGTATGTGATGAGCTCATGCACAATTCTCTGACTGACTGATGGTGAGGTAACAGGGTTGTGTCACAAGGGTTCACATTATCAGTCCTTAGGCTCCAGGAGGCCTGGGGGCTATGTGCTCATGGTCATCAAGTAGTTAACATCTTCCGTTTGGTGGGGGGTTTTCACATCTGGAAAACAACTCAGGAAATGTGCATCAAATACTGTTATCTAGGTACTTCAGAGAGGAGCTAAAGCAGAGGATATGGAGGAAGGCCTGTCCCAGGAAGGCCCCATAGGGTCCTCCTCGGTTACAATAGTCTCGGATAAAATTCACTCCCTGGTCCTATTTACCTTTCAATAAGAAGCTTGAATTACATGACACTTTGATTATATGAGATTTTGATTATATTTACTCTTTAATAAGACATTTTCATGTGTATCAGCTTGCTTCTTCAGACTGCCTGTTTCTAGTAGCAAGAGGTCATTCGTGCAGTCCAGTCCACCATAACAAAGCTCCCTTGGATCCTGGACATCCCAAATTCTCTACAGAAGTACCAATCCAAATTTTTCCACGTTTCCCTGGGCTTCTGATTATTTTTTAAATTAGTATTTTAAACAAAGTGCTAACTTCCCCAGCCTGACTTTATGCCATAAAAAAAGGCTATTTAAAACTCTCTAATATATAGTTCCCAGCCAGATTAGTGATATTAACAACAACAAATTTCTCATGGGTGTAAGATTTTTATTCCAATTTGATTTGCATTCCATTGGAAATTATAGAATGTATTCCCTTCTTTATTTTTAAAAAAAGTAGTTTACAATTTTAATAGGAATTATAAAATGTGATAAATCTGCAGATCAAAAATGGCTTTGATTGCTTGCAGTAACAAGTCTTTAAAACAAGTTTTGAAGTCATCATTTTCCACCTCCACACCAAGGATAACCTTCTAATTAGTGATCGGCCATGCTGTAACAGCAGTAGAGCACTGAGACTTGGGTAAAGAGAAAGATTGTAGAACTTCTCCAGCCCCAGATCAGGATGTTTTCTATGCCTTCTCATAGTGGCGAATGGCAACCACATCGCCAAAAGTAAGAGTCTGAAAGATTCAAAAGATAACCAAATCTTTTTACACAGGTACATCAGTAGCTGGAAATTTTAAAGATTATCATGTTATGTTATTTTAAAGATTATCATATATATGATTTAAGTATTATACAAAAGAATAATGGCATTTACAAACATTAAATGTTGCATAAGTCTTCATTTTTTGAAAAGAAACCCTTATATTTATCTCGTGAATGACATGTATACACAGTTCATGTCTCTAAAAGAAATATGAGGCAAAAACTGAGATTATCTAGATTCAGGTCAAAAGATTTCCTTTTGCCTTAAATTATCAGGGTAATTGGAGCAGATTAGCTATCTGCTTTAAAAAGTATATAAAATTTATAGTAGGTTTTCATAATACTTTACAATTCATGACCTAGATAAATTTTGAAGTTTTTTGAAAACCCAAATTATTTGGACAAATGTTATTTGCAATGAT